ACCAATATACCCAAACTGGAAAGCTGGAGGGGTTTGGGAGAGACTGACCTTGATTTTCGAGAGTCATATATCACCTGCAACCAGAGAAACTGTGAACCCCACTGACAATGGACCTGGATCAAACTTGGCACATAGAACCCCCATGACCAAATGAACATACTGGAGGGGTTTGAGGGGAGCTGACCTTCATTTCTGGGAGTTGTAGTTCGGCTACATCCAGAGACACCAAGACCCCCACCGACAGTAGACTGCGACCAAACTTGGCACACAAAACTCCCATGACCAACTGAACACACTGGAGGCATTTGGGGGGAGCTGACCTACCATGGTGAGAGCTGTAGTTCACCCTGCATCCAGAGACCCCACTGATGATGCATCTAGAGAGCAAGATTGCCCAACATGACAAACTTTAACCACTGATGAAGTTTTAGCGGGTTAACCTGGCATGTGAGTTGTAGTTCACACACAACCTTATGCATTTCATACAATTAAAAAATGAATTTTTGAAATAACCAACGTCAGGTACCCAAGATGGTATATAATAATATCTAATATAATCTATATATAAATGCTCTGTGCATAATGAGTACCTTAAAAACAAAAGAACGAATGAACAAAATCACACCACATTTGGCAACAAAACATCTCACAACACAAGGAGTGACCATCACTCAAAAAATTATGATTTTGTCATTTGGGAGTTGTAGTTGCTGGGATTTATAGTTCACCTACAATCAAAGAGCATTCTGAACTCCATCAATGATGGAATTGAACCAAACTTGGCACACAGAACTCCCCTGACCAACAGAAAATACTGGAAGGGTTTGGTGGGCATTGACCTTGAGTTTGGGAATTGTAGTTCACCCACATCCAGAGAGCACTGTGGACTCAAACAATGATGGATCTGGACCAAACTTGGCACAAGCACTCAATACACCGAAATATGAACACAGATAGAGTCTGGGGAAAACATTTGGGAGTTGTAGTCACTGGGATTCACAGTTCACCTACAATCAAAGAGCATTCTGAACCCCACGAACAACTGAATCGGGGCAAACTTCCCACACAGAACCCCCATGACCAACAGAAAATACTTAAGGTCATCCAGTCCAACTCTCTTCACCAGGGGAAGAAAATGTAATCAGAGCCCTCCTGAGAAAGAGCCATCCAGACATAAATATAGATAGATAGATAGATAGATAGATAGATAGATAGATAGATAGATAGATAGATAGATAGGACTCTCTCACACACACACAAATATAGTATCATAGATTTGAAAGAGACCCTTAAAGAAGGACTATGATATGTTGCATACTCCAGAGTAGGCAAACCAGACACTCTCCACATCAACACTGACAAAGAAACAACAAGAAATACTGTTTACCCACAAGTATAAAGAAATTACATATATTAGAAACCAACACTTTCTCATTACTTTATTTTCCAGATCACCAGACTGGGCCACAGCAACGCGTGGCAGGGGACAGCTAGTATACAATAAAAACTTTTAGGCTAATATTAATATTAATCTCATTTAGGCTAATATTAATATTAAGAGGCATTTGGGAACAAATAAAAAAGGAAGAAAGTAATATGGGCGAAAATATAATAGATAGAATATTGAAAGAAAGAAAGATCCAGTGAAAGGCAAAAAGGGTTCGGTAAAATATATGGAAGAATGTTAGAAGACAGGGAATTTATGTATAAAAGAATGGAAAATAGATGGGAAAAGGAAGGAGGCACAGGGAAAGAAAAAATAGATAGAATAAGGAATGGATTAAACAAAATAAAGATAGAAAAATATAGGGATCTGGAGCAGAAAGTAGTAACAAAATGGTATAGGACACCAATTCAATTGGCACATATGATCCAGGGTCTAAATCTGAAATGTTGGCACTGTGGGAGCAGGGAAGCCTGGTATTCACATCTATGGTAGTAATGTAAGGAGACACAAAAGTTCTGGAATCAAATCTTCATGAAAATTGAATTATATACAAAAATAAAAAAATGATTTAAATATGGAGATTCTCTTTAAAGGGATTTGTGGGGACAGTAAAATAAAAGCGCATGAACGAAAATTAGTTATGATGATGTTTAGAGCAGCACATGCTGTGATTGCCTGTGGGTGGAAAGGAAAAAAGAAATGGACCTTGGGAAAATGGTATGAATATGTGTGGGAACAAGGACAATTGGAAATTATGGACATTATAAGAAATGAAAAAACTATGGACACAAAAGCAGAAGGAAATCAAAGAAATATGGTCACCCTTTAAAAATTGGATGCAAGAAGCTAAACCAGAAGACGATCATTGGGGGAAAAAACTAGACAGAATGCAATGATGGCTCGAATAAATGAAGAAGGACCAATTTGTCAACGGGGGGAGGGGGGAGGGCTAAGGGGTGGAAAGAAAAAAATGTATTGAAACCAAAGCAATGTAAAGTAAAGATAAATGTATTACAAATAGTTGTTAACAATACAATAAAGAAAAATTTTAAAAATCAATATAAAATCAATATAATACAAAAATCATTAAAAACATATAATAAACAATGTCTTCCCATGAATCTTACTTTCCAGTAGCATCGTCTAAGCTTTTCCGTGTTTCAAACTCACAGAATTCCGTGTTTGTCTATTGCACTGCATTTCCAAAGGCTTGTTTAAAGAGCGTGGTTTTTACTTTTTTTCAGAAGGTCAGGCAGGAGGGAGCCGATCTAATATCCCTAAGAAAGGAGTTCTACAGCCAAGGGGCCACCACTGAGAAGGCCCTGTCCCTCGTCCCCGCCAAACGTGCCTGCGAAGAAGGCAGGATCAAGAGCAGGGCCTCCCCAGACGATATTAAATTCCTAGATAATAATAATAATAATAATAATAATAATAACACTTTTTTGTACCCCGCTACCATCTCTCCAAGGGACTCGATGCGGCTTACATGAGGCCGACCCCAAACACAACAATACAAACAACAATAACAACAATACAAGCAATTAAAAAACATATACAACATCACCAATAAAACAACACATAATTAAAAACAGTGGGAAGGCCAAACGTAGAGTTAAAATTGGAAATAATGCTGGGACATGAACGAAAGGCAACACTGTTGTTTGTGGAAGGGCATACGAGCAGACTTAAAGAAATGTAAAGTGCTTTGGAGGACAAAGTGCTATGGGATCATTATTCCAGGAAGGCACACTGGAACAGCCACATCTTCAAGCTCCTCCTGAAGACTGCCAGAGTTGGAGCCTGTCTGATGTCTTTAGGGAGTGAGTTCCAGAGTCGAGGGGCCACCACTGAAAAGGCCCTCTCTCTCGTCCCCACCAATCGCACCTGCGATGCTGGTGTAATCGAGAGCAGAGCCTCTCTGGATGATTGAAGGGATCGTATGGGTTCGTATACAGAGATGCGATCACGCAGGTAGGCGGGTCCCAAACTGTTCAGGGCTTTGCAGGTAAGAACCTGCACCTTGAATTGGGTCCGGTAGATGAATGGCAGCCAGTGGAGCTCCTTGAACAGGAGGGATGACCGCTCCCTGTAAGGAGCCCCAGTTAACAACCTGGCTGCCGCCCATTGAATCATCTGAAATTTCTGGGCCGTTTTCAAGGGCAGCCCCACATAGAGTGCAGTAATCCAATCTAGAGGTGACTAAGGCATGGACCACCCTGGCCAGATCCACCTTCCCGAGGTACGGTCGCAGTTGGCGCACAAGTCTTAATTGTGCAAAGGCCCTCCCGGCCACCACCGACGCCTGAGCCTGAAACATAAGTGAAGAATCCAGGAGGACCCCAAACTGCGGACCTGTGACTTTAGGGGGAGTGCAACCACGTCTAGCACAGGTTGCCACCCTATACCCCGGTCTGGTTTACGATCCACCAGGAGGACCTCTGTCTTGTCGGGATTAATCTACAGCTTGTTTGTCCTCATCCAGACAGCCACAGCGGTCAGGCACTCGTCTAGCACACGAGGGCCTTCCTTGGAGTTAGGTGGAAAAGAGTAGTAGAGTTGTGTGTCATCTGCATAGAGATGGCACCCAACTCCAAAACTCCGGATGACCTCGCCCAGCGGTTTCATGTAGATGTTAAAAAGCATGGGAGACAGAATGGAGCCTTGCGGGACCCCACAGGTCAAAAGATGGTTCATAGGGAGAGATAAGTTTGTACTAGTAAGTTGGGCCAAAACCGTTTAGGGTTTTATAGGCTAAAGCCAGCACTTTGAATTGTTCCCGGTAGCAAACTGGAAGCCAGTGGAGTTGGCACAACAGAGGAGTTGTGTGCTCCCTGAGAACTGCTCCAGTTAGCAACCTGGCTATCGCCCGCTGGACCATTTGAAGCTTCCGAACAGTCTTCAAAGAACACGTTACAGTAGTCCAAGTCAGAATTGAAAAGTTGACAACAGATTCCAAGTGTAGACTCTGCAAAAGTGGGTGAAACGATGGATCACATCCTCAGCTGCTGCAAGAAGATCGTGCAGACAGACTACAAGCAGAGGCAGAATACCGTTGCTCAGAAGATTCACTGGAATTTGTGCCACAAATACCATCTGCTTGTGACAAAAAAACTAATGGGATCACAAGCTGGAGAAAAATTACGGATAAAGAATACATCAAACTACTCTGGGACTTCCAAATTCAGAAAGAGTTTTGGACCACAAGACACCTGATCTCAAAATCATGGGGAAAACATCAAAGTATGGATAGTCGATGCTGCAATCCCAGGCAACAGCAGATTTGATGAGAAGCGACTGAAAAAGCTGAGATGATATGAGGATTTAAAGATCAAACTGCAAGACCTTGGCTTGCACATAAACACAACTGGCATTGATATAATTACCACCTATCAGCTGCAAAAGTCCACCCTACTCGGATCTGCACGCATTATTCGCCAGTACATCACACATGTGATCCAACACAACACAACAGCCAGCAGAGTGATCTTGTTCTCTCTGGACTAATCTTGTTGTGTATCAATAATATCATTATATTTGCAATTATTCTTCTTACCGCTTCATAAAACCTCAACTGAGCGACTCCTTCCTCAAAGTTCTTTTCACAAAACTCTTTGAACAGCAAAAAGCCTGAAGAAAAAAGTATACATATGATATAAAATCAATATAAAATAAATATTACTTATATTTATATTATTTATAAAATAATATAAAATAATATAATATAAATAATATTGTTAATAAAATATCAGTTCAAAATTATAATACAATCAAATTCATAATATAAGGAAAACATAATATAAGAAATGCATTAAAAATAATAACCTATACACATTAATTTATAATACATTTTATATATATATATATATATATATATATATATATATATATCAAGAGAGAGAGGGGGGAGAGAGAGAATATATATATACACACACACATATAATAAAAGTGAAAATGTGTATGTGTATGTGGCGGAGGTGTCCACTTACACAACCAACGATGGATCTGGATGATGGGTTTTGCAGTACCTTCACTCACTTCCTGACACCACTGAGCCCCCCCCCCCCCCAATGAATGACGGATCAGGACCACACTTGGCACATAGATCCCCTATGACCCACTTTACGTCCTGATACGGTTTGGGGTAGGATGGACCACAGCTCATGGAATTTGCAGTACCTTCACCTGGTTCCCCCCTCCAGATCACTGCGACACCCACAAATGATGAACCTGGACCACACTTGGCACACAGACCCCCATGACTCCTGGTGCGGTTTGAGGGAGGACAACAACAGATGATGGGATTTACAATACCTTCACTCATTTCCACAGGCCTCTGCAACCCCCACAAATGATGGACCTGGACCAAACTTGATACACAGACCCACCATGGCCCACTTTGTGTCCTTGTCTGGTGGTGGGGGGGATGGATCACAGACAATGGGAACTGCGGTACCTTCACTCACTTTCAAAAACCACTGCAACCCCCACAAATGATGGATCTGGACCAATCTTGGCACGCAGAACCCTAAGACCAACAGAACATACTACAGTTGTTTTATGGTGACTGACCCACCTGTATGGGAGTTGTGGTTCAGCCTGCATCCAGACAGCATTTTGAACCCCAACAACAGATCCAGACCAAACTTGGCACAGAGAACACTGAGCAGCATTCCGTGGACACAGATACTAAAAGACAAGAGAGTTACGGATGGATGGGAATTTCTCAAGAGTGAAATACTCAAGGCACAATTGCAAACTGTGCCAACAAAGAGAAAAAATAGGACAAGTGCAAAGAAGCCAGAATGGATGTCCAAAGAACTTCTAACTGTGCTAAAACACAAAAGAGACATGCACAAGAAGTGGAAAAAGGGAGAAATCACCAAAGAAGAATTCAAACAAATAGCCAACACCTGTAGGGATAAGGTCCGCAAGGCTAAAGCACAAAACAAGCTCACACTTGCCAGGGACATTAAAAACAACAAAAAGGGCTTCTTTTCTTATGTCAGTAGAAAAAGGAAAAACAAGGAGGCGATAGGGCCTCTTCGAGGAGAAGATGGGGAAATGCTGACAGGGGGTAGGGAAAAGGCAGAACTACTTAATGCCTTCTTTGCCTCGGTCTTCTCACAAAAAGAAAGTCATCTTCAACCTCAGCAAGATGGAGTGGATGAGGGATTAGAGGACATCCAACCCCAAATTGGGAAACAAGTCGTCCAGGAATACCTGGCCGCTCTAAATGAGTTCAAGTCCCCAGGGCCAGATCAACTACACCCAAGAGTACTGAAGGAACTAATGGAAGTCATTTCGGAACCATTGGCAATCATCTTTGAGAGTTCTTGGAGAACGGGAGGAGTTCCAGCAGACTGGAGGAGGGCCAATGTGGTCCCAATCTTCAAGAAGGGAAAAAAGGATGACCCAAACAATTACCGTCCGGTCAGCCTCACGTCGATACCAGGCAAGATTCTGGAAAAGATTGTTAAGGAAGTGGTCTGCAAACACTTAGAAACAAATGCGGTCATTGCTAATAGTCAACATGGATTTATCAAAAACAAGTCATGCCAGATGAATCTGATCTCTTTTTTCAAAAGAGTTACAAGCTGGGTAGATGCGGGGAATGCCGTGAATGTAGCATACCTGGATTTCAGTAAGGCCTTCGACAAGGTCCCCCATGACCTTCTGGCAAACAAACTAGTCCAATGTGGGCTAGGCAAAACTACGGTGAGGTGGATCAGTAATTGGTTAAATGGACGAACCCAGAGGGTGCTCACCAATGCTTCCTCTTCATCCTGGACAGAAGTGACAAGTGGAGTGCCGCAGGGTTCCGTCCTGAGCCCGGTCCTGTTCAGGATCTTGATTAATGACTTAGATGAAGGGCTAGAAGGCATGATCATCAAGTTTGCAGACGACACCAAATTGGGAGGAATAGCCAATACTCCAGAGGACAGGAGCAGGATTCAAAACGATCTTGACCGACAAGAGAGATGGGCCAAAACTAACAAAATGAAGTTCAAAGGTGACAAATGCAAGATACTCCACTTTGGCAGGAAAAACGAAATGCAAAGATACAGAATGGGGGACAATGCCTGGCTCAAGAGCAGTACTTGTGAAAAAGATCTTGGAGTCCTCGTGGACAACAAGTTAAACATGAGCCAACAATGTGATGTGGCGGCAAACAAAAGCCAATGGGATTTTGGCCTGCATCAATAGGAGCATAGTGTCTAGATCTAGGGAAGTCATGCTAACCCTCTATTCTTCTCTGGTTAGACCACACCTGGAATATTGTGTCCAATTCTGGGCACCACAATTCAAGAGAGATATTGACAAGCTGGAATGTGTCCAGAGGAGGGCGACTAAAATGATCAAGGGTCTGGAGAACAAGCCCTATGAGGAGCGGCTTAGGGAGCTGGGCATGTTTAGCCTGAAGAAGAGAAGGCTGAGAGGAGATATGATAGCCATGTATAAATATGTGAGAGAAAGCCACAGGGAGGAGGGAGCAAGCTTGTTTTCTGCTTCTGGAGACTAGGACGCGGAACAATGGCTTCAAACTACAAGAGAGGAGATTCCATCTGAACATGAGGAAGAACTTCCTGACTGTGAGAGCCGTTCAGCAGTGGAACTCTCTGCCCCGGAGTGTGGTGGAGGCTCCTTCTTTGGAAGCTTTTAAACAGAGGCTGGATGGCCATCTGGGGGTTATTTGAATGCAATATTCCTGCTTCTTGGCAGGGGGTTGGACTGGATGGCCCATGAGGTCTCTTCCAACGCTTTGATTCTATGATTCTATGAACTCCCATGACCAACTGAACATACTGCAGGAGTTTGGGTGAAAATAACCTTGATTTTAGGGAGTTGCAGTTCACCTGCATCCAGAGATACTGTGACTCCCACCGAAAATGGAGCGGGACCATGTTTGGCACAGAGAACCCCAATGAACAACTGAACATACTGCAGGGATTTGGGGGGAATTGACCTTGGTTTTGGGAGTGGTAGTTCACCTGTATTCAGAGAGCAGTGAATATAGTAAAAAACTGATCTGGATTACACACAAATCCAACATGGCCAACTGAATACAGACAGGGTTTTGGGATGATTGACCTTGGAATATGGGAATTGCAGTTCACCTGCATCCCTGAGAGCACCGAACCTAGCCTACAACAGATCTGGACCAAACTTGGTACACAGACCCAACATGGCCAACTGTGAATACTGGCTGGGTTTGGAGGTGACTGCCCTGGCCACAGGGGTCTATGGAAGTGAGTGAAGATACTGCAAATCTCATCGTCCCTGGTTCAGGCTCCCCCAACCCTCACCGGGACAAAAAGTCTGTCATGGAGAGTCTGTGTGCCAAGTTTGGTCCAGGTCCAGCTTGCATGGGAGTTGCAATGGTCTGTGGAAGCTGACCTGGGTGAAAATACTGCAAATCCCATCATCTGTGGTTTGCCTGCCTCCAAACTTCACTAGGACATATAGTGTGTCATGGGGGGGGGGGTCTGTGTGCCAAGTTTGGTCCTAATCCATCATTTGTGGGAATGGCAATGGTCTCTGGAAGTGAGAGAAGGTACTGCAAGTCCCATGATTTGTGGCAAGTTTGGTCCAGATCCATCACTGGTTGGGTTCACAGTGCTCTCTGGATGTAGGTGAATGACAACTTCTATAAATGAAGGTCAATTCCCCCCAGATCTGGTCATGGGGGGTTCTGCATGCCAAATGTGGTCCAGTCCATTATCGAAGGGGACCACAGTGCTCTGCCTTGTTGCAGAGTGAACTACAACTTCCATCCTGTTGAGTCAGTACCCCAACCCCCTTCCAGTCGGTTCGGTTGCTGATTAATCCCACTCTGTTTGCTGTGTGCCATAGGAAAGGGTAGGAAAGGGTTAAGGGAGAGGCAGTGGGCGGAGTCATGCAAATTCCACACAAAAACCCCTGGGATGCCTCTCTGTGGTGGAAGAAACACATCAAACCTAGGATAAAATTGTCCCCGAATGAAAACCTTTACTTGGGTGGTGGGCCATAGTGTTTCAAGAGGACATTGGAAGCATTTGGACTACATGTTCACAGCGTTCGCTGTAACCTAGAATTTCAGTGGAGGAAGTGCCTTTGGAACTTTAGCCTGCTTGTGAAGGCTGGAGACTGTCTGTGTAAGTGGACACCTCCGCTACATACACACAGACACACATTTTCACTTTTATTATTTTCACTTTTATTATATATATAGATATAGATAAGATATATATATTAAGGAAAATGAATAACTTACCAATCTTCTGGTTGAAAATCTTGTCAAAGGTTGATTCTCCTCTTTCTTCTAAATACCTTTGCATTACGCTCCGGATACTGGAAATAATAATAATATTTTAACGCGTTTAAAATAATGCAAATAATAATAAAAATATCTAATAAAATATATTATCATATATAACATATATCATTATATAATGATATACAATAAAATCTAATGTAATAATAATGATATAATCAATATAAATAAAAATGTAATGTTCGTTTGTGGGATTAACATAACTCCAAAACCACTGGACACCAAATATTGACACAATACACCTATCAGGCCAATGAGTGACCATCACTCATTAAAACACGGAAAAAACACAGTGGAAGAGATTTTAAAAGCTGAATAATAAAATAAAAATACATTACATTACAACGTATGTGCATAACCACATAAATACACATATACACAAATATATATACACACATATATACATACAAAACACATATACACAGACAGCAACGCGTGGCAGGGGACGGCTAGTTATATATAATATATAAAATAACAATATATAATAAAATATTATAACGTTAAATAAAATATACATTATATTATTATATATTATTATATAAGATCTAATAATAATATAATAAAATATTATAACATGATTAAAATATCTAATAAAATATATTATGTATAATATACAAAAATATAATGATATCTAATAAAATATTATAACAGAATATCCAATAATATAATATACTAGAAATATCTAATAAAATATATTATAATATATAATTATATATTATCTAATAATAATTTAATAAAAATATCTAATAAAATATAATATAAAATACTAAAAATCTAATAATAATATATAACATACAATAAATCATAATATATAAAATTATATATCTAATATTATAATAATTATAATAAAATATATTATAATATAGATAACATTATGTAATAATTAATATATAATTATATATTATCTAATATAAAAATAATACTTTAATAAAAATAACTAAGAAAATATAAAATACTAAAATATCTAATAATAATATAACATACAATTATTATATCATAATACAATATAAAATTACCTATCTAATATTATATATATATAACATAATAATATAACATGTCTATCTAATAATAATAATAACAAAAGCTATGGAATTGTTAAAATCAAGAGAGGAATTTTCCAGGGCGACTCACTGTCACTACTGTTATTCATCATTGCAATGATCCTACTGTCAGTAATTCTGCAGAAAACAAATCTTGGCTACCAAAAGGCAAGAAATTCACTAAAAAAATTCCCATGCTGTACATGGATGATCTAAAGCTTTACGGAAAATCAGAAACTGAAATCCAGTCACTAAGTTCTTGTGGGTTTTTTCGGGCTATATGGCCATATTCTAGAGGCATTTCTCCTGACGTTTCGCCTGCATCTATGGCAAGCATCCTCAGAGGTAGTGAGGTCTGTTGGAAATGGGAAAAAGGGTTTATATATCTGTGGAATGACCAAGGTGAGACAAAGGACTTTTGTCAGTTGGGCTAGGTGTGAATATTTCAACTGACCACCTTGATTAGCATACATTGGGCTGACTGTGCCTGGAGCAAACTCTTCTTGAAAGGTAATTAGATGTCCCTGCCTGTTTCCTCTCTGCTGTTTTTGCTGTTGCAATTTTAGAATTTTTTAATACTGGTAGCCAGATCTTGTTCATTTTCATGGTTTCCTCCTTTCTGTTGAAATTGTCCACATGTTTGTGGATTTCAATGGCTTCTCTGTGTAGTCTGACATGGTGGTTGTGAGAGTGGTCCAGCATTTTTGTGTTCTCAAATAAAATGCTGTGTCCAGGTTGGTTCATCAGGTGGTCTGCTATGGCTGACTTCTCTGGTTGAAGTAGTCTGCAGTGCCTTTCATGTTCCTTGATGCGTGTCTGGGCGCTGCGTTTGGTGGTCCCTATGTAGACTTGTCCACAGCTGCATGGTGTACGGTAGACTCCTGCAGAGGTGAGAGGATCCCTCTTGTCCTTTGCTGAACGTAGCATTTGTTGGATTTTCTTGGTGGGTCTGTAGGTGGTTCGTATGTTGTGTTTCCTCATCAGCTTCCCTATGCGGTCAGTGGTTCCCTTGATGTATGGCAAGAACACTTTTCCTCGGGGTGGATCTTCATCTTTACTCTCGTGGCTTGTTCTTGGTCTTGCAGCTCTTCTGATGTCTGAGGTGGAATAAATCCAACAAGAAGAGTTTGCTCCAGGCACAGTAAGCCCATTGTATGCTAATCAAGGTGGTCAGTTGAAATATCCACACCTAGCCCAACTAACAAAAGTCCTTTGTCTCACCCTGGTCATTCCACAGATATATAAACCCTTTTTCCCAGTTCCAACAGACCTCACTACCTCTGAGGATGCTTGCCATAGATGCAGGCGAAACGTCAGGAGAAATGCCTCTAGAACATGGCCATATAGCCCGAAAAAACCCACAAGAACTTAGTGATTCCAGCCATGAAAGCCTTTGACAATACATTGAAATCCAGTCACTGACCAACACAGTCAGAATCTTCAGCACTGACATCAGTATGGAGTTCAGCATAGACGAATATGCCACAGTGGCATTAAAGAAAGGGAAAATTACTCACAGCGAGGGCATAGAGATGCCAAACGGACAAACCATAAAATGCAATCAGCCTGAAGCCTATAAATATCTGGGCATACTACAGTTGGACAATATCAAGCATGGGCATGTGAAAAATAGGGTCAGCAAATAATATGTCCAAAGGGTCAGAAAGGTTTTGAAGAGTCAATTAAATGGACCATCTCCGTCATCAGATACACTGCTGGAATTGCAAACCGGACACAAGCCGAGCTGGATGATATGGATGTGGCTCACAAATGAAATTTTTAAATTTTTTTAAAAAGGAGACGGAGGGCCTGATTCCGGCAGCCCAAGAACAAGCCATTAGAACCAATGCCATCAACGCCAAAATTGTAAAATCGATAACAGATTCTAAATGTAGACTCTGCAAGGAAGCAGGCGAAATGATGGATCACATCATCAGCTGCTGCAAAAAGATCGCACAGACAGACTACAAGCAGAGGCATAACACTGTTGTTCAGATGATTCATTGGAACTTGTGTCACAAATACCATCTGCCTGCCACAAAGAATGGTGGGATCACAAGCCGGAAAAGTTACAGAAAATGAACACGTCAAACTCCTCTGGGACTTCCGAATTCAGACTGACAGAGTTTTGGAGCACAATACTCCTGACCTCATGATCGTGTTAAAAAAGTATGGATCCTTGATGTCGCAATCCCAGGTAACAACAGGATTGAAGAGAAACAACTGGAAAAGCTGACACGATATGAGGATTTAAAGATCGAACTGCAAAGACTGTGGCACAAGCCCATCAAGGGGGTCCCAGTGGTGATTGGCACACTGGGCGCAGTGCCTAAAGAACTTGGCCTGCAATTAAACATAATTGGCGCTGACATAATTACCATCTGCCAGCTGCAGAAGGCCACCTTACTAGGATCTGCACGCATTATTCGCCGATACATCACACAGTCCTAGACAATTGGGGAATGTCCGACGTGTGATCCAATGCAACAACAAGCATATTAATCTCGTTTGACCTGTCAGGGGCTTATGATACTGTGAACCACCGCCTCCTCCTGAGAAAAATGTATAATATCACAAAGGACTACCACCTCACCTGCCTCATAGGAAATCTGCTACAAAACAGGAGCTTTTTTGTTGAGTTCCAGGGCCAGAGAAGCAGATGACGGAAACAGAAGAACGGCCTGCCTCAGGAGAGCGTGCTTGCTCCATCTATGTTCAACATTTACACAAATGACCAGCCACTGCCAGAAGGGACAGAGAGTTTCATCTATGCTGATGATCGTGCCATTACCGCTCAAGCAGGGAGCTTTGAGATGGTTGAACAGAAGTTCTCCGAAGCTCTAGGTGCTCTTACTGCCTATTACAGGGAAAACCAACTGATCCCTAATCCATCTAAAACACAGACATGTGCCTTTCACCTTAAGAACAGACAAGCATCCCGAGCTCTGAGGATTACCTGGGAAGGAATCCCACTGGAGCATTGCAGCGCACCCAAATACCTGGGAGTCACTTTGGACCGTGCTCTGACCTACAAGAAGCACTGCCTGAACATCAAGACAAAAAGTGGGTGCTAGAAACAATATCATACGAAAGCTGACTGGCACAACCTGGGGATCACAACCAGACACAGTGAAGACATCTGCCCTTGCGCTGTGGCTACTCTGCTGCTGAGTATGCATGCCCAGTGTGGAACACATCTCACCACACTAAAACAGTGGATGTGGCTCTTAATGAGACATGCCGCATTATCACAGGGTGTCTGCGCCCTACACCACTGGAGAAATTACACTGCTTAGCCGGTATTGCACCACCTGACATCCGCCGGGAAGTAGCAGCCAATAGTGAAAGGACCAAGGCAGTGACATCTCCACCTCATCCCTTGTTAGGGTATCAGCCAGCACGCCAACGACTTAAATCAAGAAATAGTTTTCTAAGATCTACAGAGATACTTGCTGGAACACCCCAGCAAGCGAGAGTCCAAAAGTGGCAGGCTCAAACCCAGCACCTCAATCCGTGGGTGATACCAGATGAGAGACTCCCCCCTGGGCACACAGAAGACTGGGCGACTTGGAAGGCGCTGAACAGACTGCGCTCTGGCACCACGAGATGCAGAGCCAACCTTAAGAAATGGGGCTACAAAGTGGAATCCACGACATGCGAGTGCGGAGAAGAGCAAACCACAGACCACCTGCTGCAATGCAACCTGAGCCCTGCCACATGCACCATGGAGGACCTCCTTGCGGCAACACCAGAGGCACTCCAAGTGGCCAGATACTGGTCAAAGGACATTTAATAAACTACCAAGTTTGCAAAATTTGTGCTTTTTTAATCTGTTTGTTTTGTTCTGTTAGAAATGTAATACAATGGTATGGTTGCTGATGACACGATAAATAAATAAATCTCGTTTGCTGTGTACTAATCTTGTTGTGTTCCAAATAATAATATATTATAATAATATATAATAATAATGAATATTACCAGCTGTCTGGGAGGAGAGGGGCCTTCTTGCCTCTCCAGGGGAGGGGTGTGGGGCCAGAGGGGTCTTCTCCACGACGACCGCGGCTCTTTTCCATGGCCATCAGGTAACTCACATCTGCCAGCACCGCCTCCAGGTCTGCCATCTTGGAATTGGGTCTTGAGATCTAGTCCCTTTTGGCCTGGATCTGAAGCGTAGTATCCCTCAGAGAAGTCACCAGTGCAAGAGGGCGGGGCTTGCATAGGTAATTAAGCTCCTCCCCTCCTTTCACTCTTCCAATTCGTCCTCAAGGGGAGATCCCTGCATAAATTATGGAACTTTCCTCTTCTTTCAACCGGCCAGGTTTGCAGAGATAGTACTTCTTTCTCCAGATAGGTCAATCCTAGAGGTGGAGCCCGCATAAATTATGGTTCTCCCCTCTTCTCACCACCTCAAAGGGGCGGGGCTTACATAGATAATGAGTTTCTCTCTTCTGATAGGTCAATGCAAGGGGAGGGGCCTGCATAAATTATGGCACTGAGGCCTAGTCCTGGAATTATTTTCAGGCCTAGTTTTTCCGGATCAAACTTTGAGATCTAGTCTTTTTGGCCTGAATTTGAGGCCTAGTTTTCCTCAGCAAAGCCTTGCGGCCTAGTCTTTCTTAATCAAATTTGAGACCTAGTCTCCCTCACAGAATCCTTGAGGATTTTGAGGCCTGAATTTGAGGCCTAGTTTCCCCTAGCAAAGCCTTGAGGCTTAGTTACTCTTAGCCTAAATTTGAGGTCTAGTTTTCCTCAGCAAAGCCTTGAGGCCTAGTCTTTCTTGGCCTAAATTTGAGGTCTAGTCTTTCTTGATCAAATTTGAGGCCTAGTCTCCCTCAGAGAAGCCTTGAAGCGTAGCCTTTTTTTTTGGAGTGATTTTCAGGCCTAGTCTCCCTCAGAGAAGCCTTGAGGCTTAGCCTTTTTTGGAGTGATTTTCAGGCCTAGTTTCCCTCAGAAAAGGCTTGAGGCCTAGTCTTTTAGGTCTGAATTTGAGGCCTTGCTTCCCCCAGCAAAGGCTTGAGGCCTAGTATTTCTTCTTGACCAAACTTTGAGGCCTAGTTTTTCTTGGCCTGGATTTGAGAAGCCTTAAGGCCTAGTGATTTGGAGTGATCTCCAGGACTAGTTTTCTTCAACAATCTTTGAGGCCTAGTCCTTTTTGGCCCAACTTTAAGGCCTAATTTCCCTCAGAGAAGCCTCAAGACCTAATCTTTCTTGGCCTGGATTTGAAACCTAGTCTCCTTCAGAGAAGCCTTGAGGCCTAGTCCTTTTGGGAGTCATTTGCAGGCCTAATTTCCCTCAAGGCGTAGTCTTTCATGGCCTGGATTTGAGGCCTGGTTTTCCACAGCAAAGCCTTGCAGCCTAGTCTTTTTCAGAGTGATTTTCAGGCCTAGTCTCCCTCAGAGAAGAATTTAGGCCTAGCCCTTTTAAAGAGTGGTTTCCAGGTCTAGTTCTTCTTCACCAAACTTTGAAGCCCAATCTTTCTTGACAAAACTATGAGGCCTAGTCCTTTTTGGCCTAAATTTAAGGCTTTGTGTCCTTCAGATAAGCCTTGAGGCCTAGTTCTTCTTGGTCTGAATTTGAGGCCTAGTCTCATTCAGAGAAGCCTTGAGACTTAGTCCTTTTGGCCAGGCCTAGTTCTTCATCACCAAAATTTGAGACCTAGTCTTTCTTGGACTAAATTTGAGGCCTAGTCTCCCTCAGAGAAGGCTTGCAGCCAAGATTTTGAGGCCTAGTTTTGCTCAGCAAAGCCTTGGGGCCTAGTCCTTTCGGAAGTGATTTCCAGGCCAAGTTTTCTTCGGAGAAGACTTGAGGCCTAATCCTTTTGGTAAGGGTTTGAGGCCTATTCTCCCTCAGAAAAACCTTTTCAGAGTGATTTCCAGGCGGAATTTTTTTTGACCAAACTTTGAGGCCTAGTCTTTCCTCACTCAGCTTTTAAGCCTCATTCTTCTTAGGCACAACTTTGAGGCCTAGTTCCTTCTGGAGTGATTTCCAGCCTTGTGGCCTTGTCCTTTTTGGCCTGAATTTGAGGCGTATTCTCCCTCAGCAAAGCCTTTTGGGAGTGATTTCCAGGCCTAGTTATCCTCAGAGAAGACTTGAGGCCTAGTCTCCCTCAGCGAAGTCTTTTTCAGAGGATTTTCGGGCCTATTCTCCCTCAGAGAAGACTTGAGGCCTAGTCCAATTTAAGAGTAATTTCCAGGCCTAATCATTCTTGACCAAACTTTGAGGCCTAGTCCTTTTTCGACTGGATTTGAAGCCTAGTTTCTCTCAGAGTTTCTCTCAGTGCCAGGAGGCGGGGCTTGCATAGATAATTAAGCTTTTCCCCTCTCCTTTACTCTTCCGATAGGCCCACAGCAAGGGGTGGGGCCTGCATAAATTATGGATCTTCCCTCTTCTTTCAATAGGCCAGGTTTGCCGAGATAGTATTTCTCTCTTCCAATACGTCAATCCGATGGGCGGGGCATGCATAGGTTCTCAGTTGCCAAGGGGCGGGGCTTGCATCGGTAATGAATTCCTCTCTTCCAATAGGCCAATCCGAAGGGGAGGGGCTTGTATAAATTACAGCCGCCTTTCAAGCTTGTTCAAAGTCGAAATAATGGAGTCTTTCGTCATCCTTCGAAGGAGGAGGAGCCTAGCAGTGTAAATCTGTATGGAATTTGCATAAAATTAGCATTAAATTTCAGAAGGCTTTTTAGAGAAGGGAAATTGCTATGATTATTATATTAATAATATCTAAAATAAAATCCTGGTTTTTAGATATTATTAATAAAATATCTGAAATGTATATTATTATTTATTACATATTATTATTTTATTATTATTAATAAAATGTCATTTAAATAAATAAAATCTAAGCAATTGCATTAAATTGTGATATAATAATATACTTGCAGACGGCCAATTCTCTCACACCAGAAGTGACATGCAGTTTCTCAAGTCACTCCTGACACCAAAAAAAATCTAAACAATATAATATTCTAACAAAAATAAAAATACAATATAGATAACAACAATAATAGTCAAAATAATGGAGCCCCCGGTGGCGCAGTGGGTTAAAGCGCTGTGCCGGCAGGACTGAAGACCGACAGGTCACAGGTTCGAATCCGGGGAGAGGCAGATGAGCTCCCTCTATCAGCTCCAGCTCCTCATGCGGGGACATGAGAGAAGCCTCCCACAAGGATGATAAAACATCAAAAATCATCCGGGCGTCCCCTGGGCAACGTCCTTGCAGACGGCCAATTCTCTCACAACAGGAGCAGTTGCTCATGACACGACAAAAAAAAAAGTCAAAATAATATAAATATAGTATACATAATATATTGCAATATAATATTTAATTTATATTTTAAATAACATTATTCTAGAAAATGTAAATATATAGACAGTATAAATATAAATAATATTCTAAATAATATTATAAATAATCATAAAAATACAGTTAAATAATAATAAATAATATCCTAAAACAATTGCAACTGAATAATATATAATTTCTATTCTAACTAATAGCATTGTAGATGATATAAAATATAATATTCTAAATAATAATATATTGTAAATAATCATAAAAATACAGTTAAATAATAACAAATAATATCCTAAAACAATTGCAACTGAATAATATATAATTTCTATTCTAACTAATAGCATTGTAGATAATATAAAATATATTCTAAATAATAATATAAATCTTCTAAATAAAATAGTTTATATAACAATCCTAAGATATTGCACTAGATAATATTTATTATTTAATATTTTAAATAAATAGAAATTATCTAATATTCTAGATACAGTAATAATATTCTAAATAATTATAATATGTTTGTTGTATTATTATAATGTAATATATTAATATTTTGTTATATTATATAATAATATAACAGATATATTATATTAAAATATAATAATGTATTTGTTATACTTTTATTACATATTAGAATAATATATATTTTATATAATAATGTTAACAATATATTTGTTATTATATTATAATAAAATAGTATAAAATATATGATAGTTTATTATTAAATATTTGTTATATTATTATAATATTATTATTATATAACAATAATATATTTGCTATATTTTATAATTTTATTGGAATAATATATTTGTAATATAATACTTTAATATAACAAATATATTATATTCTAATATAATAATACTCCTATAATAATATATTTGCTATATAATAATATTAACAATATATTATTATTATATTGGCCTTTGATCTTTGATATTGCTGTTTTTAAATTGTTTAAAAATTGTGTTTGATTTAGCCTGTTCTTGTAAGCTGCTCCGAGCCCCAGGAGAGTGGCGGCATATAAGTTCGAATAATAAATAAATAAATAAATAATATAAAACTATAACAAGCATATCATTGCGTTACAATATTATTAGAATATAATATATTTTATGATTATTATATAACAAATATATTATTATATTACTTGAATAATATAATAGATGTGTTACATAATAAGAAATATTATGTGAGTTGCCTTCGGGCTTGAGATACAGCGGTATATAAGCAAAGTAAATAAATAAATAAATAAATTATATTATAATACTATTAGAGTATCATTATATTATTAGAATATTATATTTGTTATAATAATAATAATAGGTTGCTGTGAATTTTCTGGGCTGCTTATTTATTTTATTTATTTATTTAGAAGTTTTATATACCGGCCTTCTCACCTCAAATGAGGGACTCAGGTCGGTTTACAACATATATGCAAATACAATAATATACAAAACAACAAAGTGCAACATCATTACAGATTAAAATAGTACAGTAAAAACATCATCATCACATTACCCAAGCCACGTCGTTAATACAGTCATAGTCATAGCCTAGCCATGTTCCAGAAGCATTCTCTCCTGACATTTTGCCCACATCTATGGCAGGCATCCTCAGAAGTTGTGAGGTGTGTTAGAAACTAGGAAAATGGGGTTTACATATCTGTTAATGTTCAGGGCGGGAGAAAGAACTCTTGTCTGTTGGAGGCAAGTGTTAACTTTGCCATTAATCAACTTGATTAGCATTACAAAGCCTTGCAGGTTCAAGGCCTGGATGATTGCTGCCTGGAGGAATCCTTTGTTGGAAGGTGTTAGCTGGCCCTGATTGTTTCATGTCTGGAATTCCCCTGTTTTCAGAGTGTTGTTCTTTATTTACTGTCCTAATTTTAGAGTTTTAAATAGTAGCAGCAAGATTTTGTTCATTTTCGTGGTTTCCTCCTTTCTGTTGAAATTGTCCACATGCTTGTGGATTTCAGTGGCTTCTCTGTGTAGCCTGACATGGTGGTTGTGAGAGTGGTCCAGCATTTCTGTTTTCTCAAACAATCTGCTGTGCTCAGGTTGATTCTCCAAGTGCTCTGCTATGTCTGACTTCTCTGGTTGTGCTTTTTGTGTTCCTTGATTCGTGCCAGGGAGTCCATAAAGCCTAAATGGGAGGGATTCAGCTGTTGGCGTACCACCTAAACTAGACCCCTCAACTGGGCTTTGCAGGCCACAACATACATCAGAAGAGCTGTAAGACCGAGAACATAAAAACTCCAACCATCACCCAAGTCACAAACGAAGCACCATTAAAGCCTTGGCAGACCGTGCAAAAAGAATCTGCGAACTCCACCTCCTCCAAGAGGAAACGAACCACCTAAACTAGGCTCTACAGCAGTGGTTCTCAACCTTCCTAATGCCACGACCCCTTAATACGCTTCCTCATGTTATGGTGACCCCCAACCATAAAATTAGTTTCGTTGCTATTTCATAACTCATTTTGCTGCTGTTATGAATAGCAACAGATTGGGGGAGGGTATTGATTTTGTCCTGGGGGGGTTGTAATTGCTGGGATTTATAGTTCACCTATAATCAAAGAGCATTCTGAACTCCACCAACGATGGAACTGAATCAAACTTGGCACACAGAAGTCCCATGACCAACAGAAAATACTGGAAGGGTTTGGTGGGCACTGACCTTGAGTTTTGGGAGTTGTAGTTTACCTACATCCAGAGAGAACTGTAGACTCAAACAATGATGGATCTGGACCAAACTTGGCACGAATTCTCAGTATGCCCAAATGTAAACACTAGTAGAGTTTGGGGGAAATAGACCTTGACATTTGGGAGTTGTAGTTGCTGGGATTTATAGTTCACCTACAATCAAAGAGCATTCTGAACTCCACCAATGATGGAACTGAATCAAACTTGGCACACAGAAGTCCCATGACCAACAGAAAATACTGGAAGGGTTTGGTGGTCACTGACCTTGAGTTTTGGAGTGTAGTTCACCTACATTCCGAGAGCACTGTGGACTCAAACAATGATGGATCTGGACCAAACGTGGCACAAATACTCAATATGCCCAAATGTGAGCACTGGTGGAGTTTGGGATAAATAGACCTTGACATTTGGGAGTTGTAGTTGCTGGGATTTGTAGTTTTCTGAACCACACCAATGATAGAATTGGGCCAAACTTCCCACACAGAACCCCCATGACTAACAGAAAATACTGTGCTTTCTGATGCTCTTTGGCGACCCTTCTGACACCCCCTCATGACCCCCCCAGGGGTCCCGACCCCCAGGTTGGGAAACACTGCTCTACAGGTCAATGGATACTCCACCTCAGACATCAGAAGAGCTGCAAGACCGAGAACAAGCCATGAGAGTCAAGACAAAGATCCTCCCAGAGGAAGAGTGTTCTTGCCATACATCAAGGGAACTACTGACTGCATTGGGAAGCTGAGGAAGAAACACAACAACCAAGGACAAGAAGGATCCTCTCTCCAACTGCTGGTGTCTCCCGTATCTGTGGACAAGAAGTCTCCATAGGGAACCCTCAAATGCAGCAGCATTGCCCAGGCACAAATCATAGACTCAAAGAGTTGGAAGATACCTCATGGGCCATCCAGTCCAACCCCCTGCCAAGAAGCAGGAATATTGCATTCAAAGCACCCCTGACAGATGGCCATCCAGCCTCTGTTTA